CCAAGTGTTAACTACTCGATCGGGATGATGATTCGAACCGCCCCCACGTCGACATCACCAAGTCGACATATATAGTCGACCTCCCAACAGCTGACAACTCTATCTGAACGGTCTCGCCGAAGTCGACCTCTCTAAGTCGACTTCCAAAGTCGACCTCCACCAAGAAGACGATAAGCGTAGCCTCCACATACCCATAGGATTCTAAGTCGACCTCCCGGTGCTCGAGGTCGACTTTCTTGCGTCTCGAAGCCCAAAGTGTACCGACGACTCAGTACACTTGTAATGTCCCTTGAAGTCTCATATTCTCTAATGGATAAGAAGGAATCTTGTGATAACTCAGCAGGGAGGGGAGACAAATCGACCGGGGTAATTTAGACATTTCAAGTAGACCGACTGGGGCATTTTGGGTACTTTAAGTAAGTATTTCCTCCTATATAAAGGAGGTGAGGTAACCCTAAACCCTAACTCCCATTCATTCCATACACTTTCCTCTCCTGCTGCTGCTGCTCTCTCAGAGCAGCCCTCTTCATCCTTTTCACATACTGACTTGAGCGTCGAAGGCTCTACGCCGGAAACACTTCCGGCGTTGAGTTTTTGTAGGTATTGTCGCGGTCAAATAACGGTTCGAAGGCGATTCATACAGATCGGAGCTCATTATCACCGGTTCGTTTCAGATCCAGAAGTAGACCCATCAAGATTGTTTGAACTATGAGTTTGTTTGAGCATGTAATCGACCTAGGTCGTTAGCTTCCGCATTATCAGACTAGTGAGATTATGAGATATATGATTATGCACGTTTAATTTCAGTACGACTTGGTTTGGTTGTATGCATGATCGTTTAAATGTGTTGAGAAAGTAAGAGTGAGTTAGTAGCAAGGTAGCATTCTCGCGAGAAAGATAGTGTATTCAAAATATTTAGCAAGAGTTTTCGAAAATTAAATAAGTTTTTTCAAATTATAAAGCGCAAAAATTTTACTCTGATTTTAGTAAGTCTAGTAATAGTAGGCGGGATGTTACAGCTGTGGAACCTCCGCCATCATCGTCGGCGCCGCCCTTGTCCACCACGAGTTCCAGATCCAGGAGAAAATCGACGATCTCAATGCTCGAACCGTCGATTTTTGTAACATCGTCACCGGCACTTTCCTCACGGTGATGCTCGTCATCAAGGACGGCGACGGACGCCCGATCTTCTCCGCGAAGGATGCCATGGCCTTCATATCGGAAAATCACATTAGACTAGACTATTTTCTTTTAAATACATAAGGATGGACACATGTTAGAGAAAATTACCCTACACACTTATGTTATTTGCACATATGGCAGAAAAATTATTAAAAAATGAATTAGCTGAATAATTAATTACTAATTCGAGTGAACTGGGGAAGTATCGATTTTTCTTGAAAAACTGATTCCTATTTGTATGGCAATAAAACCTCCCTCTCTTTCATACCTCACTAAACACCCACTAATTCAACTTAACTGATCCATATTTGCATGGTAATAAAATCTCTCTCATACCTCATTAACCACCTACTAATTCAACATTTTTCACTGTAACCACCCAATAAAGCCTCTCTCTCTCTCTCTCATACCTCATTAACACAACAGACTGACTGGTTTTATGCCTTTGCAAAATGAATGTTCATGTTCAGTATATGATATGTATATGTATATAAACACAATATATGTTAACGTATAAATTCACAACATGTTGTTTTCGTCATTTCAACTGTATGCATATAAGTTTAGTATATATTTTGTATAAGTTCACAACATGTTGTTTTGTCCTTTCATCCATATATTTTATGTTCAAAATTATGTCAAACAAAATTCACTAAACAAAATTACACAATAGACCGATTGGTTTTATGTCTTTGCAAATGCATGTTCATATCCAGTATATGATAGGTATATGTTCGTTAAACTTAATATTTTGTGTATTTTTCAGAATTTGTTCATCAACATGGAAGAATATTTATCGATCAGGTAGTTTGTATATATTTGAAAGATGATGTAATTTGAAGTTCAAATTCCTTCTTTTTCTATTCTGTAGTGAAACATCCTATTTTGTAGAATATATAAACTTACCATATTTAATAAGTTTTTTTTAATGGAAAAAACCCATGACATGCGGAATTTAAGGAGAAGAGTTGCATTATATTTGGTAACTGATATAGTGGATCTTTACAATTAATTGTCATGAAATTTGCGAAGCTGCAATAAGTTGTGCCACGCTGTATGAGTACAATTTTTTTCCAAATCATGTGTAGGACTGCAAACGAGTCGAGCCTAGTCGAGCCGAGCATTGGACTTATCGAGCAGGACTAGTTGTTTTTTAGCTACTCCAGCTCGATTTATGAGGCTCGAGCTCGACGCGATAAAAAAGTACAATTATTCGAGCTCGACTCGAAATCAAATTGCTCGAGCTCGGCTCGAGTTTGGCTTGAAAAAGTTTAAGTGAAAAAATAGAATTACCATTAAGCACGTATGCTATACTATTGCAATATATATAAGCGATATTTTAGTAATTGAATATACATCTCGAACCGTTCGACGAACCGCTCGATAATGTAAAATATGGACTCAAGCTTCACTTGAGTTCGTGCTCGAGCTGCTCGAGCTAGACTCGAGTTTGGTCAAACTCGAGCTCGAGTCGAGCTTTGACTCAAGCGCTCGCGCGCCGCTCGGTTTGTTTACAGCCCTAATCACGTGGTATAGGTGAAAATTCGCCCACAATTTAAACAACAATTTTTTAGGGCTTACAAAAAAACAATCACTATTTCATAATTACAGACCGGCTGTGGGTGCACTGCCAAAGGCCCACTAGTAACCCTTCATATAAATATCAGCGCAATTTATATATCACAGCAAAATCTAGTCTAGGAAATAGATATCGGAGAGCTTTTGGCTTTTCTCTTTGTATATATCTATCTTTTGCCCAAACAGCAAATTTGGGTTGAGATATGTATTGTAGAGATGAACATTAGAGTACTTCTTTCTCAAGTTTCAATACAGCCATAAATGCTTCTTGCGGTACGTCTACTCGACCAATTGCTTTCATCCTCTTTTTTCCCTCAGCCTGGACCGATCCAACATAAACATAAAAAGTAGTCACTCTTTCGATGTTTTAGAACATAAAGAATACTAACTAAAAGAAAGTGTTCTCTACCTATACTGCACTATTACTTCATTCCAATTAAGCAGCGGAAAATCTTTGTGTTAAACTAAATCTTTAAATACCCATAAAAATTACGTGATAAGTGAAGCAAAGCAAAGAAAATTCACCTGTTTCCGCAACAGCTTCTTTTTTCTTGTGATATCTCCACCTACACATTAGTCAAGGGAAAGTCAAATGCATTGGAAAACATAAAGAGAGACTGGCTGGCTGGTGGCTTAATAAAGAAGTGGATATGATATGTAAATTAAAACTTGGCTTTCAAACCATAAAAGAATTGTTCGAAATCTCACCGTAGCATTTGGCAAGAACATCCTTCCTGATGGCTGACAAAGCTTCACTAGCAATCACCTTGGATCCAATGCATGCCTGCGTAGCATACAAAACGCACATTTGCCACCATTACTTACTCCTATATGCCATAATACTCAAAATTTACCAAAACTTTACCTGGATTGGAACTTTAAACATTTGCCTGGGGATTAGCTCCTTCAGTTTTCGAGTCAAAGCCCTTCCAACACCATAAGCCTAAGATTTTCTTACAGTTCACAACAATTAAACAATATGACCATGCAACACACAAAGTATATACAAGTGAAGGCAACTGAAAAGGAGATAAAAGTCATTTTCAAATTCAACTGAATTATTAAATTAGAGCTAGTCACCTTGTCTTTATGGACAATAGTGGATAAAGGGTCCACAGGATCCCCATTGATTTGAATATCAAGCTTTATCAAGTCGCTCTCCTTATACCTGTCGATGATAAATTCAAACAAACTTACTGCAAAGTTTCTTACAATCAACATATTGACCTTCAGAATTATACAAATAACTCTTCAATTTATCATGGTATCAGAGCCGGGTTCTGATCCTGGGAAAAATGTGGGTTATGGCATTAATTTTTATGTTACAAGTCAGATTAGATTGCATGGATTTACCCGATGAAGGAATACTCCATGCTAGCATACCCTTTACTCCTAGACTTTAGCTGATCAAAGAAGTCCCCCACCATCTACACAGTGAACCATAAATCAGTTGAAATCTAATACAACAACTTGTACCCACGTCAATATAAGTTATTTATTAGCCACCCGAAAATCAAGATACCTCGGCCAGGGGTAACTCATAAATAATTGATGCCCTGTTCTCAGTAATGAACATAATTTCTTTGAATTCTCCTCTCCTGTCCTGAGCAAGCTCCATAAGTGCACCAATATATTCTTTTGGGGTGAGCATTTCAATCTACACAAGCAGCATTTGCTTACATCCTCAATAAAAAAAGAAAGAAAACTGCCAGTATGTTCAGAAATAGGCACTCCAACTCAAACCACCTTAACATATGGCTCTTCAATAGACCTCCTGCTTCCAGGTTCAGGAAGTAAACATGGATTTGAACATTCAACCTACAAGCACAACAATAAATCACATCAAGGAAATATTGCGAACAAGTTATTATGCCTAAATAGAGAAGTTAGGATCGTTGGCACATAACTGAATGAAATGAATAGGCAACTGAAAAATGATGCAGAAATTATCAACATGGACGAAAGCTGATCAGACATATCTTCTCATTTTGAATGAACCTAGGATGCACAAAATTTCTATACAGCAATTGCAATAGCTTTCATTATTATTCGACCCCATATCCCTTAATTGGAATGGATTTTTTAAATGAAGAAATTTCAGTAAACGAACCCCTGATTACCAAGATTTATTATAGCTATAGAATTTTGTTATCTGCCAGAATCATTTTAAATATCTCATTATTGACATTCGGATGAAAAATATTATAAATTAATAACTATATTCATATGGTTGGAATTTTCATTACATCAACTCAAACTATTGGCAGGGTAAAAAAAGAAGGTAATAAAACTAAGTGACAAAAACATTTATCTGCAATGAATCCAATAATGTTGATACCAGTCACTCTATCAACTATTGTTAGATGTAGATGCACACATATTTTGGATGAGATGTTCAATCAGCACTACTGGAGCACGTTAAGCTTGGAGACCACAACTTACATCAAACTATATTAGACGAACACAAAATAGGAAAGTCAAAATAAAAAAAAAAAAAGCACTAAGTTGGTCACTTTCCAAAAAAGATATGTGAACTTGGACCTCATCAAACTCGCTACAATAAGTAGAAAATTCACGAGAAAAAGGTACACCAATACGCTCTCAGGATGAACTTTTTCTATTTCAGTCACTTTCCGCCAAGTGACATTCCGTGTTATCCAGCGTCCATTCTGGTCTAGTGACCAGCTGTTGGAGTCGTCTCATCGAGGTGGTCATACCCTTAAATTTCAATCAAATCAGAGTTCATTTACTCATTCAGTTTTACGTGAAAGTTGCATTTTATGTGAATGTCACTTTTTCCGGGTTTTCATTGTCTTGTGTAATTTTGGCGTCGTCTAACATCCACTTTCATCAAATGACCTATTGTCGGATTTGTCACGAGACGGCCGTACCCATTAAATTTCAGCGCAATCGGAATTCATTTTCCCATTCAATTTTTTGTAAGACATTTATACACTTTTTATCTTATCCCATTGTCTGTTGTCCGGTAGAATTCCGACGTCATCTAACTTTCATTCTTATTGAGTGACCTAACATTGGACTTTTGAGACGGCCGTACTCATATAATTCCAGCTCAATCAGAGTTTGTTGGCCCGTTCAATGTTCCGTCAAAAGTTGAAATGTGTTGTTTTCTATCTGGGCTAATTCTAGGGTTGTCAGGCTTCCATTCTAATCAAATGACTTACCATTGAACTCATCTCGTCGATATCGTGCCCAAAATTTCTGTCCAATCGAAGTTGTTTACCTATTGAATTGTTCAATAAAAGTTTTTTGCACTGTGTGTTCGGTCAGTGATTAGTATACCTTTTTTAAGAATTTTCCAACTTATTGTAGCGAGTTCGATAAGGTCCAAAGTTCACGTATCTTTTTCGGAAAGTGGCAACTTAGTGCATCACTGTATCCTTTTTGAAAATTTGCCGAAAACATGATCAACCCCTCTCCTAAGAAAAGGTGAACTAATTTCTGTAATGTTCAAATATTAAACACAATATGAAAAACATGTAGTCTTTCTTTATGAGCATACATTGTTTTTGTTTTTTTTTTGTTTTTTTTTCTTGTTGGAATTTTAAAAGGTAGTCAGAAGAGTAGATTTAAGTTTTGACCAATGATACCATGAAAAGACTCACTGGTCAAATAGCTCACAACCTTTTTATCGTTGATTCGTAAGGCAAAGTAAATTGTAAGATTGTCGGAACTGAATAGCTAATTACATCCAGATTACGTCATACCCACAGTTTCTGATGACAACACATAAGGACTCTTACGTAACCAGGCACCCTTGACCAGATAACTAAGTGCATGCATGGGAAAGTTCACTACTGATTAATGAAGTTCAGAATCTAGAGTAATGTAAAATCCTTCTAAAAAAAGGCATGACAGTTAGTCATCAGTGTCCATAAAGTACTATGCACTCAAATCCAAAAGGATATCAGTAAAAATAACAAGAAAAGGTTGAGAAGAGATTACAGTTTCACCGTTGATGCAATTTACTCTGTAAACCACACTCGGGGCTGTAGTTATTAGACTCAAATTGTATTCACGTTCAAGCCTTTCCTGCTTAATAGAAGTATAGAACTCATTATCGTGCAGGTAGTGGAAAGATGCATAGCAAAGACTGAAAGAATGGAAGAGTTCGAAACTCATACCTGAACAATTTCCATGTGAAGAAGACCAAGGTACCCACATCTAAAGCCAAATCCCATTGCACTTGAGGACTCCGGCTCAAACTGCAATGTAAAGAATACTGTTGGCAATTTTTTCTATAGAATATCATAACATTCAGTCAAAAATATATACACAAACAAAAAAAATGGGAACACTATTTCAATGAAAAATCTAAATGAAAATTGACATTAAATGAAATTATGCTAAAGAATTGTAGAAGAAATCGCTACAAACAGCAGACCTTCCAGCATTTTATTAGAAGAAATCTCCACAAACAGAAGACCTTCAAGCATTTTATTAGAAGTTTCATAAGTGAAGTGATGTTCACATAATAAAGCATGCATAATTTGCTCAAGAAGCTTATATAACATTTCAGACGTATGCAGTATCCGCATTGTTTTCACGAATCGAAATTGGGTACTTGATGGGTAAAGCAGTAACTCAAATTTCGTAGACTTAAGAGGATCTTGAAACATTGTCTAAGCAGTACCATTACCCCTCAAATTATGTTAGAAACTAGCATGAAAATATACAGAACAAAAGGGCAGAGGAAAAATATCAAGGATGGTGGGCAATTTGAAACATTCCTGCAATTCTCTCTATTTGAAGCTTTGCAAAAGAAATAACCTTCTCTAGCCTCTTTGAGAGAGAGAGAGAGAGCCTTTTTCTTTCTCAATTGTACTGCTAATTCGTTTTGTCGTCATGGTACACAATTGGATTCTAATTCGAAGGTTGTCTTTCTTATAGCTGAATGCAGTCCATTGGAAAATTCAAGCAAGATGTGAAACACATTTTTTCGTAACCTTCCTTCAGGCCTGCTAAAGATTGACCAAACTCTGTGACTCAAAGGACGAGGGATTGGAAGAAGCACAGAGAAGAAGGTGTGAAAGCAGCAGTGTCAGTTATTGTAGATCTCCGGTCCTGGTTGGGTAGGTTAATATGGGGAATTATATTCTGTTTCAGAAATCTGGAAGCAAGGAGTCATGATCAAAGCATCGTGACATTTGGCCAAAATTTGGGAAAAACCAAATGAAAATCTCGCCTACTCCTTCATCCTGGGGTGCTTCCCTCAGGTATGGAGCCAAGTTGCATTCAGGTTGAAGGACTAGGATTTGAAGGAAGAATTGGAGAAAGGATCTTATCAGAATAGATTTGAATCTACCACAATGATTTCTAAAATAGCTCAATATAGGAATGTAAAGAAATGATATCAAATGTATGTAAACAAACACAAAGATATTAAATCCTTCAAATTCAAATTCAACATCATAGACATCTTCCCTAATGATTAAGTAAATTAAAAGCAGCCACCTTTGCCATCTGATTTGCATAAAGAATCCCCTTATTATCATGATCATACCAATCAACCTTTGGTGGCAGATGGTTTCCTCTTGTTTCAAGAACATACAAATATATACATACACAAGAACAATAAATGGTGATTTGTAGCTTGAGACAAGGTTAAGTCAATAATAGCAGCTTCCAGCAAAAAATTAGTGGATGTTTTTGCGCATGTATTCCTAGTTAAAGAGCCACAGCCATGTAAGTCATTCAAACAGAATACTCCCACCTTTAGAGCAGCATCATTAAGCTGCAATTTCTCCAAAGCATCACGCAAGTCGTGAAACCTATAACATGGATTGACAAAAATTATAGACAGCTATATCCATAACTGTATTGAGTGAACTGTGAAAAGGACGAAACAGGAAAATACTGGTCAGCATCAACAGGAAACAGGCCGCAGAAAACCATAGGTGTTGCTTCCTTGTATCCAGGAAGAGATTCTTCTGCCTTTCTGTTGTAATGTGTAATAGTATCACCAACCCTAGCATCTGCCACTGATCTTATGGAAGCCGAAAGATAGCCAACCTGAAAGGATACCAACTTCAAATTACTTGTACGAAACCAAGAATGGAACAAAAAATTGAATATGTTCATATATTGGTAAATGAGCAAATGCAAAAAATAGAATTGCACAGAACATGATATAATAAATTACTCAATTAACCCTTCCATACCAAAATCATACATGGAATATCCATCTATACGCTGAAGTTCTAGGACAAGCCGTTCCGTGTTAACTGGAAATGGTTGACATATTACAATGGACACATGTAGGGCAGGGGAAAAGAGAATTATTATTCAGGTTTACTTGGATTGTTTAAGGTACAGTGACACTAAAATGTCATAAACATAACCAATGCCAATGGAATAGAGTTTTTAGGCTCAGCAAAATGTTCACAATTAAAGAACTGAAAAGGCATGCAGTATAAGATTAATTTAGTAAAAGGCCAGGTCAGATTGGACTCTGCACCTCTCCAGCAAGCAATTGATCAACTTGCAATTGGTTGGGAGATAAAACTCCAACTTCATCAGCATAATAATCCTGCAATTTACAATTACAAGGTAAACAGGCTACAAAAATGGATGTGCATGCAAGGTTCTAAAAAAAGAGTAACATGAAAAAACCTTAATCACTATTTGTTAACTACATGTTTCAGCAGTGACTCAATAATAGAGGGAATGGCATATAACCAGATACGTAACTTCATCAAAAAAGAAAAAATGAAAAGGCACCAGCATTCCATCTTTACTATGATCCATGACTGGCTTGTAAGAATTAAATAATTCAATATTTAATACCAGTGCAAAACTGATCAGCAACATTAAGAAATAATAAGCAATCAGCAACTAATGAGGAAATTTAACATCGTCAAATAAACATTTTACATGTTATTTTTAAGTTGTTTATTCAAAATAAATTTTTATTTATTACAGTTATAGCACTGTCCTAAAAATTGGTCTAGCCGGCACCTTAGATCTTCAATTTTCACCTACCCGGACATTTTTACGCATTTGGACAATAAGGCGGCATTTAGAGGACGAGGCGACATTGGGGAATGGCTTAGATGGCCTAGGCAGCTTTTAGTCACCCATATACAATAAAAATAGTATACATGTGATGTACATCTATAACTCTCAGAGTTGTGATATACATCAATAACTCTAAGGTCACCAATGTAATTTTATCACTAATGTTAGGGAGTTACAATTATTAACATTAATTTTTCAATAAAATTAAATTGAAAATTTGTAGTATCAAGTATTATATGTTTAGAAATGATTGAAGTCAAAGTATAATCCTCCTATATAACTAATATAATTTAAAGTATTTATTTATTTAGTAAAATAATATATAATACAATAATAGAAATAGTTTTACAATTTTTAAATTATTATAAAAAAATATTACCGAGCATATTGTTTAATTTATCTCGAAATATTAAGTTAGTTAGATAATAAATTAATAACATTATTCTATGTGGTTAATAAGGTTACTTTAGTTTTATTATTTTTTGAGATAAATAGAACTTAGAAGATTTTGAATAATATAATTGAAGTTCACTTATCAATAATACACATGGTATAACTGTTTTTCCATACTAATATGTGTTGGATGTATTTATCATTTATCTCAATTTTAGCACAATAAAAAAAATAAAATTATAAACAAAAAAAAAAATCAAACAACAAATATATCATAAATTTATTATATAAATCTATTTTTTACAAAAATAGGTATCATTAGAATGGAAAATAATAAATATGTTTATTTAACGTTCGATGTCAATGTCACAGTGTTATTTGTAACATTACTCGTGTCATATTCATTCAAAAATTGTTACGATTCACTTATTTGAAAGCAAAAAATAATAAAAGAAAAAGTAATCATTTTTAATTATATTATAATACTTGGGGTCTTGAACATGACGAAAACTAGGAAAGCTTAAGATACTACGTTAATAGAAATTATATCTAACAAGATGCATCATCCCTTTCGCCAATGAAGTCATTTAAGATCCAAAGTTATTGTTTGGACAAATGCGGCTTATAATGTCTAGATACAAATATTACATAAAAGAACATTTAATTTATAATTCATAGATTTTTTTAATGATTAAGATAGCCTACAATTTCCATATAAAAAGAGTAGTGCCTATGTAATAATGTTCGATAAACACATTGGTTGTTTATATTTTGTTATATATATTAAGTTATGTTATTATTCACAAATATTTTTCAAATAACTTTTTATATTCTATATCATTATATATATGAAACTAAAAAGCATTCAAGTATTAAGTATTGAGATTAAGCTTGCATGCATATCTCATATTTCAAGTTTAATATGTTATCGACCAAAATTAAGTAAAAGAAAAAAATACTCTCCCACTGTAATAACGCAATCAAAAAATATAGCAAGAGAAAATATCCAAACAACAATAATTAGCTTTTGAATTAAAATAAATTCAATATATATTAGTATAAAAAATACATTCATATGTATTATTAAAGGTGAACTTAAATATATTATTTGGAATATTTTTTTCTTTATAAGTAAGAAAAAAAAAATTCTATTAATAGAAAATATGTTTTTTACTTACGAAAAAATATTTAAAATAAAAATTTTACATTTGTGTATAATGCATAATTATTTTTGGGTTAAATCACATACACAAATATATCAAAGATAATAATAATAGAAAGTCCAAATGACATTGATTAACATCAAATTAACAATTAAATCTAATCACTAGAAACACAATGTCACAAAGGAAGATATAAAAATATTACATCGATAAAAAGAATTACAACAATGATCATGATTTTAAAGAATAATAAAGACAACATTAATTTACAGGAGATATAACACAAATTTATTTATCTATTTTTATTTAACTACAACTTTCAATACCATTATAGATTATGTTCAGTGCCAATTTATAATATTTATTATATATATGTTTCCTCTTTTATTAAACTAATGAAAATTTAGAATTTTAAGCATAAATTTAATAAAAATATAACTTTAAAATCATAAAAATAGTAATAATTACGTGCGTCACATGTGCAACTTCATAGTTAACACTAAAATACATTAATTGTGTTAACATCAATTCAATAATTATGAATGTATAAAATTTAAGATATCTTATAATTTTTGTTACAAACCTAGGGTTTTCTGAGTTGATATTTGATATGAATGAGAATGACCATATATATATATATATATATATAGGGCTATGCATGGGCCTTATAAGCATGGCCTTGATATACTTAACAACCTCCCACTCGCGCCTCCTTCAAATCGAAGGTGGAGGTGGACGATCCGAAACATTGAGTTTGAACAAGTGAAGTTGATATTGTTCTCTAGTTTTTGCGTTGACCATTGACTTCCAACTAGAACAATTGACTTCCAACGTTGACCAGTGGCTTCAGGCGTCGACTCCAGCTTTGACCGTTGACCGTAGTATGCATTATGTATTAAGTAAATATGCATTCAGCAGTATGCTCTTCATATGAACTAAATATGCATTTAACATTGAGTATAAAATCCTTATGAACAAAATATGCACCAAGAATATTAACTAACTATGCACTGATTATGAACTAAATATGCACCAAGAATATTAACTAACTATGCACTGATTATGAACTAAATATGCACAACGTATGAACTAAATGAGCATTTTGCATGAACTAAGCGAAAATATGCAATTAAATGTGTATTGAATATAATTGATTTAAATATAATAATAATTATTTTTTACTATATGAATAATGTAAATTTCAATTAATTGATATGAGTCATTGATCTACATAAATAAATAGCTACGACTCGACCTTACAAGAACTAAACATGCACTTTTATGAGCTAAATACGCATTTCGTATGAACTAAATATTCATAATGAATGAACTAAATATGCATTATGTATATATTTAATTAAATATAATAAACATGCATTATGATGAACTAAAAATTCATTTCTTATTACCTAAATATGTATAATAAATGAATTAAATATGAATTATGTGTTATATAAATTATATAATAAATATGCAACAATAATATCAACTAAGTACACACTTTTTATGAACTAAATAAAAAAGCACTATATATGAACTAAATAGCGAAAATATGCATTTAAATGTGCCTTTTTTGTAATTAATTAAAAATAACAATTGTTATTTTTTATTTTATAATTAAAGTAAATTTCAATTGATTAATATGATACTATGATTGGACCTCACATGAACTAAGCATGCACTATGATGAACTAAATATGCATTCCTTATTACCTAAATATGCATATGCATTATGAACTAAATATGCATTTCTTTTTCTCAATTAAGTATTAATTATTTATAACTAAAATAAGCATTGTGTATTATCTAAATATGCACAAGAAAATAAACTAAATATACATTAATTTTATAATATAAAAAGCCATATTGCAATTATTCAAACTATATACAAATTTTTGATTGAACTCAGGGATCTAATTGAATAACTCATATCTGTTTGAAATTACAACTAGATCCCTAAGATTTATCTAATTTTTAAAAAGTAGCCAATCCCAAAATCTTATTTTCAGGCTTCCCAGCACGCTCGGCCACGGCGGAGAAGAAGGCGTGGAAGACCATCCTGTGGAGGTGGAGGTGGATCCGATGCAGAATGGGCGTATGTGGATGTAGACAATGACTGAAAGTCGCCGAGTTGCGTGCCTCCATCCGATGCGCCACCGACGGTCTCGTTCTCTTCCAGGAGTGCGACTCGGACGCCACGGTCGCAGCGTCGTTTTCACGCCATTCTTCCACAAATAATAGCTCATTCCCTCCGACAGTCGGCGAGAACATCCCACGAATCCGCTTCAGTTTCTCCTTCTCCTACTCACTCGCAATTTCAACTTCCTCAACCAGCGATTTCCCGACGACAACCCTCCTCACGACATGATTGAAGTTGTAGATCGAGGTCGGGTAGTTTAAATGAGCCTTGTTCCAAAATTGTCGGCGCTGCCTACGCTTCCTCTTGGCCAATTTGGGCGGAATTCTAGAGACTGCCGGAGGGGGAACTCGCAGGTGGATTTGGGCAGATTTGTCGCGATCCCAGGTGTGGGTTCCGACCGCTGGGGTTCCAGCTTCGGCAGTCTGGGGACTACGCTAGGGAGGGGTGGCGAGCTACTGTTCACGTCAGATCGGTCGACGACGGTCAAACAGCAGTCGGCCGCCAGTCAACTTTGCTTTATAAACTTTTTTTGAATATAATTAATTTAAATATAATAATTAATTTTTGAATATGCGTCCTGGAGACTAAATGGAAGGGACAAAAGGCGAAGGAGGTGGAGGATACTGGCTTCAAGCTTTGGTTCACTGGGGCTTCATCGAGTAGGAATGGTGTAGGCAACTTGATCGATAGGAGCCTTAAGGATGGAGTTGTAGATGTTAGGAGGCAAGGCGACCGGATTATCCTAGTCCGATTGGTAGTTGGAGATTTGACCATGAATGTGATTAGTGCCTATGCCCCTCAGGTAGGTCTTGGTGAGAGCGCAAAGAGGCAATTCTGGGAGGATCTGGATACCTTGGTTCGTACGGTGCCTGCCAGCGATAAGCTCTTCGTAGGAGGAGACCTAAACGGGCCATGTGGGTGCGACTAATGTAGGTTTTGAGAGAGTGCACGGAGAGTTTGGGTATGGTAGTAGGGACGAAGAGGGAGAGGGTGTGTTGGACTTTGCAATGGCCTACGACTTTTTGATAACGAACACCCTCTTTAGGAATAGGGAATCTCACCTGGTGACCTTCCATAGTGGACGACACTCAAGTCAGCTCGACTTTATCCTTGCAAGGAGGGAGGATAGACGCGCTTGCGTGTGTTGTCCCCCAGCATAAGCTGGTGGTGGTGGATTTTCGATTCCGAATACGTGTCCACCGGGACAAACGTGCCAAGACCGTGAGAACAAAGTGGTGGAAGCTTAAAGGGGAAGCGGCACAGACGTTTAGGGATAGGATACTAAGCGAGGGGCCTTGGGAAGAAGGAGAAGATGCAGATGACATGTGGCTAAAGATGGCAACATGTGTACGGAAGGTGGCTGCAGAAGTACTTGGTGTGAGTAGGGGAGGCAAGCAGGAAGAGAAGGACACTTGTTGGTGGAATGACGAGGTGCAAAGAGCTATTCAGGAGAAGGAGTGTTTCAAGCGTCTCCACCTTGACAAGAGTGCAACCAACATTGAGAGCTATAAAATAGCGAGAAGGGCTGCAAAGCGTGCCTTGAGTGTAGCGAAGGGTCAGGCCTATGATGACCTTTACCAGCGCTTAGGCACGAAGGACTGGGAGAAGGACATTTATAGGATGGCTAGGATTCGGGAGAGGAAGACAAGGGACATCAACCAAATCAAATGCATCAAGGATGGATCGGATCGGCCACTGGTGAAGGATGGGGAGATCAAGGACAGATGGCGAGAGTACTTCGACAAATTGTTTAATGGGGAGAGTGAGGGTCCTACTCTGGAGTTGGATGACTCATTTGAGGATACCAATAGATGCTTGGTGAGGAGAATTCGGGAGGCAGAGATCGGAGAGGCTATGAAGAGGATGAAGGGAGGTAAAGCAATGGGCCCTGATGGTATCCCCACTGAAGTGTGTTAGTATAGCTAACTAAGCTTTTTAACCTCATTTTCCGGTCAAACAAGATGCCTGATGAATGGAGGAGAAGTACTTTAGTACCTTCAAGAACAAGGGAGATGTTCAAAGATGTGGTAACTACCGTGGGATTAAGTTGATGAGCCATACGATGAAGCTCTGGGAGAGGGTTATCGAGCATCGCCTACCAAGAGTGACGAGTGTGACCCAAAACCAATTGGGTTTATGCCTGGAAGGTCGACCATGGAGGCGATTTTCCTAATACGACAGTTGACGGAGAGATATAGGGACCAAAAGAAGGACTTGTACATGGTCTTTATCGACCTTGAGAAGGCTTATGACAGAGTACCGAGGAATGTCATGTGGTGGGCCTTAGAAAAGCACAAAGTCCCATCTAAGTACATTACCCTCATCAACGATATGTACAAGGATGCGATGGCTTGTATCCGAACATGTGGGGGCGATACCAGCGACTTCCCAATTAAAATAGGACTACACCAGGGGTCAACATTGAGCCATTATTTATTTGCCTTGGTGATGGATAAGGCCACAAGAGACATACAAGGTGATATCCCTTGGTGTATGCTCTTTGTTGATGATGTGGTGCTAGTTGACGAGAGTAGGGCAAGGGTAAATAGGAAGTTAGAGCTGTGGAAGGACATGCTAGAGTCGAAAGGCTTCAGACTTAGTAGGACGAAGACCGAGTACATGACGTGCGCTTTCAGCATGACTTCACATGATAATGGTGACGTTAGCCTTAACGGGCAAGTGGTGGCCAAGAATGAGACTTTCCGGTATTTAGAATCGATGCTACAAAAGGATGGCGATATTGATGTTGATGTTCGGCATAGGATTGCAGCCGGTTAGTTGAAATGGCGTCAAGCTTCAAGCGTTCTCTGCGATAAGAGGGTGCCACAAAGGCTAAAAGGTAAGTTCTATAGGACGGCGATTCGCCCGACGATGCTATACGGTGCTAAATGTTGGTCTACAAAAGGCAACATGTCCAACAACTAAGTGTAGCAGAGATGCGTATGTTGCGTTGGTTCTGCGGGCACACAAGAAGGGATAGAATCCGGAATGAGGATATTCGAGATAGGGTCGGGGTGTGGTTCCAATTGAGGAGAAATTGGTTAAACATCGGCTGAGGTGGTTCGAACATGTCCAACGGAGGCCTCCTGATGCACCGGTGCATAGGGGAGTTCTGCAGCGGGTCGATAATGTAAAGAGAGGTAGAGGTCGACCTAAACTCACTTGGGAATAGTCGGTTAAGAGAGACCTTAAATATTGGAATACCTCCAAGGATTTAGCGGTGGATAGGAGCGCTTGGAGGCTAGCAATCAACGTGCCAGAACTGTGACTTTTGCTCCTTTCTCTTTTGCTCGAATCTCTTCCTTTTGTTTTGAGCCCTTTTTGTGTTTCTCTTACCATTGGTTCTCTTGGGTTTCATCTCTAGCCTACCCCAACTTGCTTGAGACTAAAAGGCTATGTTGTTGTTGTAATTAATATTTTTTATTGTTTAATTAATGTGTATTCTAATTTATTAATATGAGCCATTGATCTACACAAAATCCATGGCTAAGAGTAAGTCTCATGTACTGATTTTAAGAAGTTGACTCATTTGATCTTAACCCCATATATATATACTTCTGGCAAAGATTGGAAACATGTGCTAGTGCCATATAGCCTCCTACAAAAATAAAACAATAACAATAAATGACATTCACCAAATTGCGTATTTACAGTATTGTACCTTTCCGCTAGCCATAAACATTATCCTGTCACCTCTTTTAATTGTCCCATCAATAAGTCGAAAGTATACAATGACTCCCCGATATGAATCATAGTAACTGCAAAAAAGTTAAACCACATCCAATCTTTACTCATAAGCAAATTCATAATCAATTCAATGTTTCACGTAATTCAGTACTTGTAAGTTGGTATGAGCTACAAGAATTTTCATAATCAGTATGGATGAAAAAACCCAAAAACCCCTCAAAAAATGAAAATCTCTTTCGAGAAGATATGAATGTAACATGTTTGCATACAATTTGATTTCACAAAAGCCAAACCCTCAAACCAAATATCTATGAGAACTTAAATGATGTAAATAGACAACAAAAGAAAATTTCAAATATAAATATGAAAATAAAAAAGAAAACATAAAAGAAACAATTAAAACGTCATAGTAAGCAGACATAAGACTACATTTAATGGTGCCCCATCCCAGTAATATCATCATGAATAGCTAGTTTTTTTATTAAATGATATCTGATGGGATTTAATTGACAGGAACAAAGGGGAATGGTTGGAATTCAAGGAAGGTGGTGCAAGTATTTCTGTGATTCTGTCGTGTCATTTGCTGAAAACAGCACAATAGGGAAAGTAGAGATTTTTTTCAGTGCTTGAGCTCGTGTGATTCCTGCCTTGGGCGCAGTAGATTACGAGACCTTGCTAAAAATTATTCAGGTAATATTTGTAGAGCTTGGAAAGTGATCATGAATCAGTGCACGGATCCTACTGAAGCTTTTCTGCATGGGGTCAAACATGCTTTGTCGAGGGCTTTCGTGTCGGACTGGAAGATCAATTACTTAAAGAGTAATTCTACTATTTTTATAAAAATATGTGCAGACTAAAATACCCTCTCTCAAACAATAATTCAGTAATTATGTCAGAATGAAAGTAATATCTCTAATTCAGTTGGTGCCTCTTCACCTCTTCATTGATTTAAATTCTTATTTCTTCACTGTCGAATAGTTAGATAGAGAACTACATAGGCCACACATGGAGATGGAAGGAAAAAGCCCAGCCTAATTAACTAAAT